GGGCAAGATGGATGGTTGCAATATCTACTTGGGTCCAGAAAAACAACTTAAGACCAGAGGCCACCCACCCAAGAGACAAGCAGGGAGCCAGGAGAGACGAACGCCATGTGAGGTGCTTGCAATGTTCTGGGAGGATTTTGAGCCTAGATGAAAAATTCTTATGGTGAGAGGGCTTGAGACCCTTGCAAAGCTTTTCTCTACTTCTCCTGCATCAGATCTTAAGATTATATATTTATAGTTTAGAAATGTAATTTTATTTATTTTATTCTCTCCTCCAAGTTCTTTTAAAATATGCTGACTGGTCTCTGGTATATTAAAAGAAAGCAAGGTGAAAGGATTTGCTTCACAAACAGGCTAGTCTTCTGCAAGGATCAAGGGCACATCTCTGACACCTGGGACTGGCAGCGGTAGCTTGAATCAAAGGGAGAAAACTCTGAGATCGGATACTATATGCCAAGCCCTTTTGTGGTGGTCAATTTTAGATGTCGACTAGGGTAAGGGCTGCCCAGATACCTCATAAAACCTTTCTGGGTGTGTCCGTGAGGGTGCTTCTGGAAGAGGTCGGCAACGGAATTGGGAGACTGAGTTAAGATGGTCTGTCCTCACTAGTGCAGGCAGCCATCATCCTACCCTCCGTCAAGGCCCCACATAGAGCACCGAAGGCTGAGGGTGGGCAAATTGCTCTCTTCTGGAGCTGGGGTAGCTTCTCCTGTCCCTTGGACATCAGAACTCTAGGTTCTCAGGTCTTTGGACACAGACTGAATTACACCACCAGCTCCTCTGGTTCTCCAGCATTCAGATGGCATATCATTGGACTTCTCAGCGTCCATAATTGCATATGCCAATTTCTATAATCCATCCCATTATATCTCTATATGTATATTTGATATCAATATTGATGTCTATATCAACCCTATTAGTTATTTTTTTTCCGGAGAACTCTAATATATACCTTTCTTTCTAGTTATTTCTTCTAGCAGTCATTTTTTTTGTTTCAATTTTGAAGACTGTTTTCATTGCAAATTGTATCATCCAAAAACGGCTGCAACACTCTCTCCCATCCCATTAGTTCTTCTTAAAATGTGACGGGGGCCAGGTGCGGTGGCTCACGCCTGTAATCCTAGCACTTTGGGAGGCCAAGGTGGGTGGATCACGAGGTCAGGAGTTCGAGACCATCCTAGCCAATATGGTGAAACCCTGTCTCTACTAAAAATACAAAAATTAGCCGGGCGTGGTGGCGTGTGCCTGTAGTCCCAGCTACTCAGGAGGCTGAGGCAGAAGAATCGCTTGAACCTGGGAGGTGGAGGTTGCAGTGAGCCGAGATCACGCCATTGCACTCCAGCCTGGGTGACAGAGTGAGGTTCTGTCTCCAAAAAAAAAAAAGTGACAGGGACAGTGTTCTATTGCGAGCTGGGGAACTGTGTCCTCTCCCTTTGAATTGGGGCAGGTTTTTGACCCTGATGGAAGTGACGCTATTTGTCTTCCAAGGCTAGGATATAAAGGGGAATATGCCTTTCACCTGGTTCTACTGGGACGCCAGCTTTTGGAACCTAGCCACCATGCTTTGAGGAAGCCCAGGCAGCCTGCAGAGAGGCCCACTTGAGGAAGAATCACAGCCCTTTGCTGGCAGCCCAGGCTAACAGCCAGCGTCAACCTACTAGCCACGTGAGTGAGCCATCCTGGCCATCCTGAAAGAAGAAAGGTCCACATCCCATTGGAGCTGATGCAACATGAAGTAGAGAAGAGCCGTCCTCACCTACCAGTGTCCAAATCGCAGATTCATGAGCAAATGAATGAGCCTTATTGCTTTAAGCCATGATATTTTGGGCTGGTTTTACATGGCGACAACTGATACAGTTCCGTATTTATGTAAACACTAAACATGCTCTTTGGTGTTTGTGTTGAGTAAATTGCTTTTATTTATAGCTGGCTCTCCTTTTCACAAGCAGCTGTCCCAACAATTGTTCTACCCTGGATTCTGCAGTGAGGTCTGGAACCACTGAGGAAGGTGAGAAGTGACAGGCAAGTGAACTATTGTTTTTGAGTCCTCCTTGTTCAATGACTGTGAAGAGGGAATGAGGATAGTTTCCTCTTCTCCTACACTTGAAGCCTCTTTCAGCCCCTTTTCTCATATGTCCTCCAAAGGCCTCTGGGGATGTGTAGGTAGGTGGCTACATGTGGTTTTCTTTCATAGACACACTGATGGGATTATTGTTTTGTATTTCCAACAAGTCAATGCCTCTTAAAAGACGACGACAGACACTCCCATATCTATATACATAGCATCCCTGGATATATTACTGCATTTATTAGTGACATCGATGACATTCAGGTACACCTATGAACTGCTCAGGGAAGTGGCTCATGTTCCTCCCTCATGTCCCTCTTGGACATCTGGGGTCCATGCTCCCCTTGAACACTCAACTGGATGTGTCTACGCTAGGAAGGGGCAGCCATCCGTTCTGGGTCCAAAGCTCAGCCATATGCCAGGAGGAAAAGATTTGATCAGACTCACTCCCCACTGTAAGCTCATACAGTATCTCTCTCTTTAGCTGATCTGAAACCCAGTTGAGATATGTCTAATGATGATGATGATGATGAACTTTTCCCTTTCTATCTTAATTTTCTTCCCCTTCCTCTCTGCCTTCATCCCTTGTTCCACTGTTGCCAGTAGAATTATCCAGAAGAAATTTATTCTCCTCTTTAGATAGATCTTTTAAACCCCTTCCCAACCCAATTCATGTTCTAAAGCTTGTTATGTGTTTTTTCTTTCCAATTTGACGGACACTTTTGTTGTTGTTGTTGTCTGTTTTTTAACAGGGTATCATTCTGTCACCCAGGCTGGAGTGCAGTGGCATGATTACAGCAGCCTAGAACTCCTGGGCTCAAGCAACACTCCTGCTTCAGCCTCCTGAGTAGCTGAGACTACTGGCATGAGCCTCCACGCCCGCCATCCATTCTGATAGACAACTCTACTTTTTTTTAGCAGAAGCCACAACCCTGGGTAGGACAAAGGGATGGCCAAAGAAAGCAGTCAAGATGGGTGGTGAGAGTGGCTCCATCTTCTTCCTTGCCCCGCAAGCCCCTAGGAGAGGGTTTCTCTGAGACCTGTTGTTTCCCGCTCCATACCTAACAATGGTGAGGAATTGGGGCCAGCCTTTGAGGATCCAGCACTTTTCTCTAGGCCACAGTTAGCTGCTTAGAGGTTTTGGGAGGAGAAGGATCCTGTTATGACCAATTCTGCAAATGGATTCCAATATGTCTTTACAGTCCTGGGGCCCTGGGAAAGTGTGTAAGTGTGTGTGTGTGTGTGTGTGTGTGTGTGTTGGGGGTGGAGTTATTCCGGGTCATGCCACCTGGAAATCACTGCATCAATGAGACCTGGAGCAGCTCACTTAATTGTCCCCAGAAAGGCATCTTTGCCCAAGAAGATAACCAAAGTCATGGCTCAGGGAGATATGGCCCCAGGTTATGCATCTTGAGTGTGTTTGCACGGGTGGAGGGGTGGGTAGGTAGAAGGTTATTCAAGAGTCCTGGTTCTCCACATCTATCCAGGCCCTCAAGCTTTATCCACGTGCTCACTGACTGCTCTGTTGGGGGCCTCTTTCCGCCTCCGGGCTGGCGGTGAGCTAAGAGGCTTCTGGTGTCAGGGAAGGCTCCACCTTGGGTATTCAAGGCCACTTTCTGTGCATGTGTGTGCACCTGTGCGCACGCTTTCCCAGAAGCAAGTCTCTTTGCTGTTTTGGGAGCTTCATGTCCTGGAGCCAGGGCTTTGTGCTAATGAGTGCTTTGAGAGGATGAAATTCCTGAGCTCTGGCTCGCTGACCCTCTGCCTTCCTTCCTTGGCCAACAGCCTGTCCCAGGGAGCAGCGTGATTCTTACCACTGCCTTCACTCCTTGAAAGAACAAACATCTTCACTGCAGCCTGTGAGCGCTGGTGTGAGGTGATTGTTTATAGTAGATGTTTCCATGACACTCATTTATTTCTTCTGCAAATACAACTGTATTGGGGGAGGGGACAGAGACAGGATAGGGTAGGGAGACTGGAACGTATGAAGACCTTCCAGTTTCCTATTTACATTCCTCTGTAGGATGAGAAGCCCCTTCCCTTTCCCTGGGTCTCCACCATCCCAGACTCCTAAAGCGTCCCCCAAACCCATCTTGGTTTCGTGCGGTAGAGACGGGGCTGGGCTCCGAGTAAGGTGGGGAGGGGAGGAGCCATGTGCGTGAGGAAGCAGCTTTTATCAGGAGAAGTGGGAAAAAGCCCCAACTTTGACTGCTCGGAGTCGGGTTCAGTAATGACGAGCAGCAGTGACCAGCACCGGGGGTGGAGTGTGTGTGCACGAGTGTTCCTGAGGGGTCTGTGGCACTTCGCAGCTGAGCCAATGACTCACTCTAAATCTGAGCGACTTTGAGAGGTCATTTTAGTCATCCCCCGGTCTGCATCACGTTTGGAGGGGGTGGTGCGCTGGCTCTGGGGACATGTCTGGGTGCGGAGGGAGTGGGGGTGGGGAGGCGGCGCGTGACCTCTTTGAAAAGATCTCCGGCGAAGGACGTTCCCCGGCTCTCCCGGGCCGCCGGCTCCTGGGTTTCCCCATCATAGAATCAGCATGGTCCTCTCGGGAACTGCTGTTTGCAGGATGGAAACCGGATGTTGGCTTCCATGAGTGGGCGGGGGCTCCACTTCCCTCAGACCTGTCCGGGGTAATTGCGACCCGTCAGGGTCCCGTTAGAAGCTACCATTTCCTTCACTCACCAGAAACTTGCCACGCAGTGTGAGCCGAGAGAGAAGCGAGCAGAGACGCTACACCGCCTTCTCCCCGGCAATGCGCATGATTCTGCGGCTCTGTGCTCGCCACACTTCAACGCACCTTGAAATGGGCTCGCCTCCTTCGCTCCGCGACGGGCGGATGGCTGAGCCAATCGGACCCCGGGATTGAGGGAGGCGCCCAATAGGCGGGCGGCGGGGGCGGTTCCGGAGGCCCGGCCCGGCTAGGCTTCACCGTGGACCTGGCTGCGCTCCGCCCGGGCGAGTAGTGCAGGTGCCGCTGCGCCGGGGCCGGGGAGGCGCGCGCCGAGCCGAGCGGAGCCTAGGAGGGATGGAGAGCTGGCCGCCCGGGCTGCAGGAGCACCGGCGCGGGGCGTAGGCGGCGCGAGGCGGGCGCGAGGCGGGCGCTCGGGCGCGAGGCGCGTGCGGGCGCGGGAGCACTTTGCGATAGGATGAGGCTCCGGGCTGGCGCGGTAGTACTATGATTTGGTATGTGGCCACTTTCATAGCAAGTGTGATCGGCACCCGAGGGCTTGCGGCTCAAGGTGAGTTGAAGTGCGGCGTTTCTCCCCTGCCCCTCCCGGCGCCCTCGGCCCCTCGCGCTCGGCCCCCTCGGTTTCCCGGTTCCTCGGCCCCCCGGTTCCCCAGCTCCCCAGCGCGCCTTCCCGCGGGCGAGGCTCGGGCTCCGGCGCGGGCCAGGCGCGCCGGGGAGCATTGCCGGGGAGGGCCTGCGGGCCGTGGGCTGGAGGGGCGGGCGGGAAGGGGCCAGAGCCCACGGGCTGCCGGGCACTCGGGGAAAGGACGCAGTGGAACCCAGGTCGACTTCGCCCACCACGGGCCCCGCGGTGCACCCCGGCGCGCCGAGCCCGTCGCCTCCTACCCGGCGGCCGCCTCCCAGAGCTGCGGGAAACTCTAGCTGCGGGAGTTCGCGGTCTCCGGGCAGGCTGCAGCACGCTCGAGCCCCGCGCCGCGAGGAGCGCCTGCGGGGAGGCGCGACCCGGAGGATCCCTGGGACTCGCGGCACACGAGTCTAAGGCCCCGGGTTCGCGGCCCTGCGGGCGCCCACCGTTTCGCTCGCGCCCCTCCTGCCCACACATCTTGGCAGCTGGAGGTCGGAGCCCCCTAACAGGGGCGCCTGGTGAGAGGAGGACTGATGAGGCCGGCTTCGAGGTGTGTCCGCTTTTGGCCAGACCCGGCCGGCGCCCGCGCCTCTCAGCCGCACCTGGGCCCAGGCCAGGCAAAAGTTCCCCGGGAGCGCGCCGCAGCCGCGCGGGCCCCACGCCGCCCTCCCCGGCTGCGAGGCAGAGCTGGATGGGGGCTGGAGGGAGGGGCGGGGGAGAGGGGTCCCCACGCTGTGAATCCGAGCGGAGGGGGGATTTTCTCTTTCCGCTTTCCTGGGTCTGAGCTGGGGGAGACGCGAGGGGGAAACCGCCGAGTTGGGTGATGCGTGCGTGAGCGCGCGGGCTTTTGCTTTGGCGATGGGCAGAGCGACCTACAAGCCTCTGGGTGGCACCCCCGGCTCTCGGCCCTTGTATGGAAGTGGGAGCGGAGCCTGGAGGGAGCCAGGACTGTGAGCTCAGGGCTGTCAGCGCGCAGACACGACCCGGCTGCGGGCAAGTTCACCAAGCCCGAGGAGATGGCGGCGGGAGAGAACCCGCTGTGGGGGAAGTCAGCAGGCAGGACTCGCCGACGGAGCACCGTCTCCCAGCGGCATGGGGCACCGGGTGGGCTGGAGGCGCCTCTCGCGGGGTCCCCTCGTCACCGGTCTGTGCAGGGGGGAGTGCTTCAAGAAACTTTCTGGAATGGAATGAATATGTCGCCTCTGCTTCTGGGGAGGGTGGTGGTGTCTGAAAACAGAATGAGCAGAGGGCGAAGGGAAGGGTGATTGTGTTAACTGACATGTTGGTCCGGGCGGTTTTAAAACTCTTCGTTTGTCAGGTGGGAACACTGAGGCAAGGGTGATGGCGGAAGCTTACGGAACGCGGGGTGGATGTGAGGTGGGTCGGGCTGCGCTTGACAGTCTGCCTGTAGCCTCATCCTCTCCCCCATTTCCTTGCCGTCTTCCAATGCCCGCATCCTCCTCCCCTCCCGTTTTTGGTATGTTCCTGCTATGGGACTGTCCCTGAAAGCACAAAAGGATGAGCTGGGATCTTTGAATAGAACAGAGATGCTGAAGGCAGGCTCTGAAATAGCCTACAAACCTAAGTCAGGGTGGGCAATGGACTTCTTTGCAAGTTTAAGCCCAGAATAAAGGAAAATGAGTTTATGCTGCAGCAACACACAGAATCGCAAGATAGAAGGAAGGGCTTCCCGAAATTGAAGGTTGCCCGGCATGAAGGTTATGCCCTCTTTCAGGGTGCAGGGGGGTCCTTCTGTCTGGAATGGCTGGACATGTACCCCTGTCTGGAAGCAGAGGGTGACCTTACTGGTCTTGGGGTCTTTTTTAGCCTCAAGTGCTCTGTGTGTGGTTAGTTAAGGACCTAGGTCTAGAGCCATATGACTGGGATTTGAATTCTGGCTCTGCCACCTGCTGACCCTGTGACCTTGGGCAAATTCTCAACCTCTCTAAATGTCACTTGCCTCAATAGAAAATGTGCTAACGGTATGGGCTTTTAGGGTTTTTAGGTGGACATGAGTGTTATAAGGAAACAAACAACTACCTGTTATATAGTATGTGCTCAGGAAATATTAACATCATTTTCTCAGTGTCCCTGGGATTCCAGGATCCTCCTCAATTTCTTTCCCTTGGGCCATTCAGGGCACTAGGAGCTGGGAATATGTTGCAGGGAAGTTCAGAAGGCTGCCCATGTCAGGAAGTAAGACCCCTTTCTGGGCTGACCTTGTCTGGGCAGAACCTCTTGTCCCTGGCATCCCAGGGACGTGCGCAGGGTGTGCAGGCCTCAGCGCTGCTCGGAAGTCCTTTGCAAGGTCTCCAAAGCTGGAATGTTGTCAGTGGCCAGAGGTTTATGGAAGGACACAGCCCGGGAGGTGAGAGCTTACAGCACACAGCCTCTGGAGGGAGAGGGTGGGTGCCCGCTCGTGTGAGCAGCACCAGCCAGTGTTCACATGCTAGTGAGGCTCCCTGCGAGAGCTCAGCTGTTCCCTGACTGGCAGAGGTGACTTCTGGGGAAGTCCCTCAGCAGGAGGGACTTTGAGATGCCACCCTTGGGAACTGGCCATAGCAGGGGCTGCTCCGGCAGAGGGGAAAAAGGGATGATGTTGTGTTGGGACCCAACTCCATCAGCCCTCGGGTGCAGCACAGAGGTTGGAATGGGCTCTTCCTTTTGACTTTGAGTGTGTGTGCCTGGGAGGTGATTAAGGTCAGTGGACAGGTTGGGGGAGTGTGGAGAAGAGAGGGGCTGGAGTGGTACACAGAACCTGGAAGACGGTGATTGGTGTAGACTCAGTATCTCAGACGGCTGCTGAGCCCGCCCAGGGGAGTTCCTACTCTGTGGGAGGACCCTGGGCCGTGCTTAGCTGACTGTGGACCTTGGATAGGGGAGGCAAGTCTGGGACTTTCCTCCCACGCCTGCCTTCTCTGTCTGCCACAGATTCTGTGGTTGCATTATCCCTGACTACAGTGTCCCCAAATACAATGAGGTTCTGACTCAGATCCTGCTACTAGTTGGACCATTGCCCTCTACTTTCTACCTGGCCTTGACCTACCCTTCTTCCTTTTGGTAATGAAGATGGGAGGGTGGAGGTTTGGACTCAGAGGTTGCTATCAAGACCCCGTGGTGAGGCTATCAGCTAAGAAGGACTTACCTCAGGAAGTGGTCAGTGGATGGATGGATGTGTGTGTGTGTCCTCAGCACACACACGCTGGGGACAGGAGTGTGTCTGGCAGCCTGTGCCCTGGGGGATGTGAAAAGGGCTTGGCTGAGGGTAGTGGGAAAATCAGCTTTCAGCTGCGGGCCTGTGGCCCTGCATGTGCTGGTCTTGGAGTTGCAGGGTTCCAGACCTGGAATGGTTTCGTGTTTATGGCTCTGAGACAGAAAGCTGGGATCTGGTTACAAAAGAGCAGAGGCTGCCTGGCTGGAAGATTCTGAGCCCCAGCATCACTCTGGCCCTCACTCCAACCTCCTGTGCCTTTGCCCTCTCCCCAGCCTGAGTGCTGGCTTGTGTCTTCTTCCTTGGCGCTCTCTTCCTTAGCCCTGCTGGCTGCTCCCTGCTGGGTGCTTCAAGATGTGGGGGTGGGAGATAAGCTCTAAAGGGGGCTGGGCCTGAGATTTGAGGTAGCCCTCTTCTCCACATCCTGTGGCCTTCTCAGGCTGGGGTGTAGGGTACTTAGGGAGCGGTCCCCTTCCACCTGCTTCCTAGAAGAGGTGAAGCAGCTTGTGTGAAGAGTGGATCTGAATGGTCAAAGAGCTGCAACTGTTGACAGCTTCCAGCTGTCCAGAAGTGTGTGTGTGTGCACATGCATATGTGTGCACTTGTGTGTGTGCATACACACATGTTCCTATATGTGTGTACATATGTGTGCCCCTGCATGTGTGCATGTATGTGCCCCTGTGTGTATGCATGCCAGCATGTATATGCATTGCATATGTGTGCACACCTGTATGTGTGTGCATGTGTGCCCATACGTGTGCATGCACATGCATGTATGCCTGTGTGCCCATACATGTGAAACCTGTATGTGTGCATGCTCACAAGTGCTTGAGTGCCTGTGTATCTGTGTGCATGTGTGTGGAGTGGCAGGGTGGGGAATTTAGTGTGCAGACACGAGGTGGGGGCCGCTCCTCTCCGTGCTGCAGCCCTGAGAGCAGAGAGACCCTTGGAGCCAACTTCTTGCCTTCGTATCCCCTCCCACTATGCCGAGGTGCCCTTGGTGCTGGAGTCTAGGCAGCACGGAGGTTATCAGGAGCCCAGGGCCTGTCTGTCTCCCTGAGGGTGTGGCTGTGGTCTCAGTTGCTCACTCCAGAGGACTCTGGGGTTGGACAGGCAGCTTATGCCCATTCCCCACAAGACGCTGCCCATGGGTGTGAGCCCAGTCTGCTGGAGGCAGCTGACCTATTTTTCTTGGGAATCTTCCTGCTTTTCTGTTCTCTCTTGCGTGAATAAGCAGGAGATGGGGCCTCCAAGAGGGCTCTGGAGAAAGAGTCCATGTGTGCCAGGGCTGGGAGGAGTCTCAGCCGGCCTGACTGTCCTTTCTGAGAAGGCCCCGCTCAGCCTGGCTTTCGGTCCCCCGTGGCCCCTTGCCTCCCTCCCAGTCGTGTATGCCACCGAGATGGAGCGGGGGCCTGTGACTTGCACACAGGCACAGACTGTATGAGGTGAGTCACTGTCTTCATTTTCTGGCTTCGGAGTAGGAATGTTGATGTTGCCCAGGGAGTAAACATGGGACTTCGGCTTCCCACGGACTTACTGCCTCTATCTGGCACCTTACCACGGAGCCCAGCCTCCTGGGGGCTGAGCCCACGGTGCCCTCAGTTGGCCAGACTGCCTGCCGGCTGCAGGGGTGCGTGCACCTGGGCCGTGCGAGTGCCAGGCAGGCCTCTGCCCAGGTAGGGAGGGGGCAGTGGGGGTGTGGCTTTGCCTCTGC